AAGTGACATAGATAAGAAAATATTTAGGAATTAGGCTTGCTGTCTTCTAGGTTTGGTTTTCTGTTATATACTAAGTAATAAAATCCATTTTACCAGATAATAACACATTAATTTATTGCTGTCTGAGAAATGAATGAGTTACCTGCTAATAACGGTTGAATTCTAAGAAGTTTGACTTTACCTCGTCTGCCTAAAATTTGAAGCACAGCACTTACTCTACAAAGATTTTCTTGTTACCTCGTAATAAAGTTAAACTTGCTATGTTTTTACCAGGTTATTGATGTACTGTAAAAGATAGGTTTACCAATAAATCATTTCACAGCAAATAAAAAAAATACCTGCAAACAAACCACTGAGAATAGCTATTCTTTCTGCCTCTCTACCCAATGTCATCAGTCTTTGGTTTTCTTTGCTATGGTTTTTCATCTTTCACTCTTTTCTACAGATTTATTGACAAGCAAATAAATACAAATATCATGATTTTCAAGCCCCAAACACAATTATCCAGCAACATTGCACCAGTAATGATATTTGGCTTTATTTCCTTTAACAGTTTTTACAGATTTATTCCCTTAAATCCAAAGAAGTCCTTCTCATACCTGCATAGAAACTTTGTGCTGCCAGGCATGATTTCCAGCGTGAAGCATTCCCCTCCGTTAACGCAGTAGGTCTTCTGGCTGTTACTGCAGCGCATTATGTGGCTGGAGCTCTTAGCTGTAGTGGAGGTGCTGGTGGTAGCTGCAGAACGACAAACAAGGAAAAACGCATGCAAATGAATTACAGCAAGTCATTTAACTAAAATTCATTTTAAATGATTTTATCTCAGGATGAGGGATCCGGACTCCAAATCGTTTTCTGATCATTTGGGACTTTTATTGGAACAATAATAACTAAACAAATATTATTATTATTACAAAAAATAAATATTTTTATTAATTAGCATCTGCAAGACCTTTTCACAACACATCTGTAATTGCAAAAAGTCAGAACCCAATGGACACAACGGCCGTTTTTCAGTCTGTGTACTTGTGTGTCCTCGTGTCCTCGTGAAACGTCATCAGCTTCACAATGTTCCATTTCGCAAAACTGAGAACGGACAAAGTC